TTTTTTTTTTTTGGTACCGGGGATCCTAAATTTTAGTATTTGGAGAATTCCTTTTTTAGTTTGCTTTTAAAAATACTTGCATTTAGTTTTGTTTTATCCACTATTTCAGTTCAGGGATGAGGTTGAATCTACAATAACATTTTATGAAATCTGGGTGTTTAGGTTTTATTTTTTTATTAATGTATCTGAATTTTCATTAGATTATTGGATCTCTAAGGGCATAAATCAAGTTTTATTATTTATCTGTATACTCACTCTTTATTCCTGGATATATAACTTAGTAACTTAGCCTATTGGAAAACTTTCCAAAATGTTTTATTAATGGGTAAATTAAAAAAATTTATTAACATGTATTATTAGTGGGATTTGGTGTGCTGTTTTTCTATGTGCGTATAGTGTGTACACTGATTAATCCAACCTCCTTTTTCTCAAAATAGGTAAATTACAAAGTAGATATTTGGAACATTTAGATGGGAGATAGTTATAGAAATATTATCTTTAATTAACTTCTTCCAGAACTTAAATTTCTTGAGCATAAAGATTATGTCTTGGGTTGTATTACATCTTTAGCACATTGCTTGGCACATAGTATGGACTAAGTGCATATATGTTGGCTGAATAAATTAATGATCATTTTAAAAATGTATTTTTAAACCAGATGAACTTCTATTCTCCTCCCTTATTTGATGAGGGATCATGAGAAATGAAAAATCTGGGAAGTGAGCCCTTTGGTTTCTAATTGGTGTTGCCATCTGTACATCAGAATCACATCTTACTACTATTTGTTTTTCTATACTCATCTCTTCTTCAGCACTTTCTTTCACCCCTCCAAGATCAATGAGTAGCAAGAATTCTTTCACCTTGGGCTCAAATGGACAAGAAGGGGTTTAATGTCCTTATTTCATGTGTTATACTTTGGAAAGAAAAACAAATTATTCATGTATCTTCTTCCCTTTATCCAGTTCACTACAACATGAAAGGCCTTGGGACTATGATTCAGCAACTCAGGAAAAGAACCATGTAGCCCATCTAGTTCTCAGTATTCCCAGCTTGACTTAATTCATTCTTTCGTGGACCCTTGAACTTCTTGTTTTCTAAGCTTTGCTTTAAGCTCACTTCTGGAAACAAAATATTTTTATGAATCAGTATAAGACCCTAGAATTTTCTCTGCATTAGTGACTCCTTAGATTTGGAATTTGACGGTGTGCTGACACAGACACTTTTTGTGTTTCAGTAGCATTTGCTCCAGGCAGATTGATACTTGGTGACCTCTACTACACTAGTTGAATGACACATGGGTAGAATGAAGAAATGCTGTGCTTTGTGTCTGTGGTCTACTTGATGAATATAGCCTTGTTGTTGTTATTCTGACTTCCAAATATTTTTGCCTTTTGTAAGATTTTACTATGAGTAATAATTTCCTGTAACATGTTTTTATTTCTCCATTATGCAGATCTATGTTCATGTGTCCACTGAAGACTGACTCTAATGTTCATAATTCCTTCTTAGGAAATCAATGGCATTTTGGTATTCAGTCTCTTCCCTGGAAGGGGTAAAAGAGTGGACTGGTCAACGTTAAACTCTGCAATGTGTTAGGAATGTGTTTCAATATACTTGTAGTATGCGCTCATTCCAGATTCCCTTTTTTACCAGCAAATGTAAACAGTTATAGTTTTCATTCTTATTTTTAAAACTCATGAAGTATAGAAAATATAAAGAGGGAAAAAGGGCTTTTTTCTTCTAACATTTGATGGTAACTATTAATATTTTGGTGTATATTCCTTCAGATTTTTTCTTCTTAACATTCATTCAATAAAACACAATGGGTGAATGTGAATATAAATATATACATATATAACACATATACATGTGTTCATAAACTTATTAGACTTGCAAAAATGTTCTCATAATTAGGTGATTTTTTGATGCTGATGATGGAATCTAGAAACTCAGGTGTGCTTAGGTGCTAAGCATGTGCTCTACCACTGAGGCACACCTTCTGCCCATAATAAGCATAGATTTTAACCTGATTTTCTTTTGAGGTCTTTTATCCAAATCTGATTCAATACACCTTGTTTTAAGCAATTGTTTTATGGTTTAGCTCATCTAATATCAAAATATGCATTTTCCTTCTGAGGCTTTTCTGGGTTTGTCATGTATTATTTTATAACACCATTTTGATAAGAAAGTGTAGAATGGAGTTTGTAAACCTTAAAGAGTAACTGAAATGGAAAGGTGAGTGGGAAATAAAGCAAGAGTGCAAAACCAGGAAAAGAGGGACCTGTGGGGTGGTATCTCCTCATGTTTTTTAAGAATTATAGAACTTCATTTCCTTTGGTTCTCACACAAACAAACAAACAAAAAGTTAGCAGGTTGAACTCTGTGTGTTACCTCAGGGCAGTCATTTTTCTTTTCACAAAGTTACCTCAGCACTGGAGAAATCACTGTCCCCATACACCGTGGCTTGAGCTGCCTCTTCCAGCCTTACTGCTTTCGTATTTCACCCTGTGACTGCTGAAGGACATCTGGTTTGGATCTGAAATATCCCTGCATGACCTGTGTGTTAAGGCGTGGTCCCCAGTCTGTGGCCCTATTAGGGAGGCTGTTGAGTGTTTCAAAGGTGGGGCTCAGCTGAAAGCAGTTAGGCTACTGGGGGTGTGGCCTTGGTAGAGTTACTAGCCCTTTCCTCTCCTTTTTCTTCCCAGCCACCATAAGGTGAGCAGCTCTCTCTACCACAGGTGCCTGCTGTGATGTGCTACCTGTCAAAGGCCCAAAAGCAAAGGAACCATTGGCTATGGACTGAAATCTTTAAAACTGTGAGTCAAAATAAATCTTCCCTCCTTATAAGTTGTTTATCTAAGGTATTTGACACAGCAATGGAAAGCTGACTAACACAGGACAGTATCCCAATGCTTAGCTTCCAAATTGCTCTTAATATTTTCTTAACCTTTCAAAGGTAGTGGTTGCACCAACTGCCTTGTAAGCACAAGGTCCCGAGTTCAATCTCCAGTACCCCCCCCCAAATAAAACCCCAACAAAAAACAAAACAAAACAAATACAAGCTACTTGGCAACCCATAAATCTTGGTGGAAGCCAATGCTCTGGTGAGGAAAACTTCATCAATGCAATTTAGCTACCTCACTAGAAATAAAATAGAAAATCAGCATTGAATGCATGTTGAATATAGACTCTATGCTGAGGAATAAAGCAAAGGAATAAAATTGCTACAGTATATCTTAGAGGGTCCTGAACGCAACAAACTCACTTAAAAAGGTAATAAAATTTCTGGCCCAAGAGGCAATGACATGGTCACAAAAAACCTAATTAAGCCAAGAAAAACACTCAATATTCAGCAAAAACAGAGGGGTGAGGAGTATCATCATTTTGTAACACTGATCATATTACAGGGGAATTCTGAATTTATTGTTTCCTAGTGATAAAGTAGAAAAGAAATCTGCTTCTATTCTCATTGCAGGAAATGGCTTGCTCCTCATCTCTAACAAGTGAAGAGTTCTGGAAAGCACTGGAGCACTCAGAAAGAGCTATACAAATTCACAAAGCAGTAGAAACTCCCTTAATTATGATGCACAAAGCTGACTCACCTAATTAACCAATACTCAGAACTCTGTCTGTAAAATATACTGAGTGATGCTCCCACCTACAGTGAGGTATTTCATCTTAGCTTACCTACTCATAATGTCCCACCAGGCCTAACAGTCAGTTAGGTTTTTTCTAGTTGAATTTATTATTGTAATAATGTATCTTCATGAGGTATTATGTAACATAATGAGATGTGAGTATGGAAAGAATTGTTATGTGTATAAAAGCAAAGTTAAAGAGTAAACAAAAATTTGATAGAGTTATTCAAATTCTGTTTTTGTTTTAGGTGTGGATGAGATGACTGGAGGACATCAGGAAAATTGTCAGAGATCACCTCCTCCCCATACTGCTCCTCAAGGGTCCTTACGTTCTGTCATCTTTAAAAAACAGGAACTGGAAATCATAAATGTTGCATTCTGGTTGAAAATGATGGCATGGAACACTGATGGCTGGTCACCCATCCAAAAATAAAGACTGACTGTTGACCAAACAAAAGATTATTCAATGAATATTTTAATTAAAATAAACTATTTAAATCATATATATATTTCTATACCTGTTTTTCATATACCTTACATATATGTAACTTTTAAATCCAATCATCTGTTTTAATGAAGTGTTTTGATTAAATGACTATGGTATTCTGCAGTATTTCAATAAGTTCCCATGCGGGTCACCTATGAAACAGATTGTTTTTCAGAGCAGTCCCCACAATATCATTTCCCTTCCTAAGGGGTAAATACTGAGCTATTTGTTCACACTAATGTACAGGACTTTCCAACTTGCAGGCATTAAGTTTCAACACTTCAAAAATGCCTTATCAGGGGCTGGAGGGATAGCGTGGTGGGAGAGCACTTGCCAAAGGTGTGTGAGGCCCTGGGTTTGATCTCCAGAACCACAAAAACAAACTAATGAAAAAAGGGGGGGGGGCTACATCAATGTATTTTCACAAAGAAAGAAGAAAGACCATTTCAAAAGGAAAGACTAAACTACACAGAGCAAAGTAAAAGTCATAGTTTGAAGAATGGGTACACAAATGTTAGAAATGAGACAATAAGAAAAAATACATTGTAAAAATATAGAAAATGGACAAAAAAACATTTTTACAACTGGAATTTTAAAAGTATAGATGAACATACTGAAATAACAGAACAAATATTGAAGAGATAATTCATACCACTTTTTTTGAAGTAAAAAAGATTATATATATGTGTGTGTGTGTATATATATATATATATATATATAATGTTAACACTGTTAAGACTGACTCACTATAATTCTTGATTTTGAAAATAAAGCAAGTGTCTTTATGATAGCCAGGCAAATCGGCCAGGAAGAAAATCCAGTTGTACTACGATCTGAATGTTTGTCCCATCCCAAATTCAGGTTGAAATTAAATTTCTATTGAAACAGTCTTAAGATGTGGGATCTTTAAGAGGCCATTAGGCCATGAGAGCTCTACCTTTATGAATGGATTAATTCAGTTATCATGGGAATGGATTTTTATTAACATGTTTTAATCATACATATTAATTGGGTTCAGCATGATATTTCTGTACATGGACACAATGGGCACTGATTAAATCCAGCCGCTCCTTTCCTACCCCTCTCACACCCTTTCTAATCTTTAGTAATCACTATCGTACTTTCAGATTGACATTATTTTTGCTTCCGCCTATTCAAGAGAATATGTGTCATTTGTCTTCCTGTATCTGTCTTATTTCATTCAACATAATGTCCTCATTCTATCCATTTTGCTGCAAATGACAGAATTTCATCTGTCTTTATTGCTGAACAATATTTCATTGTGCATATATACTGCTTTTTTTCTTTTCTTTCCCATTTATCTGTTGATGAGCATGTAGGGTGATTCCATTTCTTAGCTATTGTGAACAGTGCTCCAATCAACAGGAGTGTTCTAGGATGTCTTCAATATGCTGATTTCCTTTGTATAGATACCCAGAAGTGGGATAGCTGGATCATAAGGAAGATCTATTTCTAGTTTTTTGAGGAACTTCTATACAGTACTATTCTCCATTCTGACTGTACTGGCTATCCTAATTTATATTCCTACCAACAATGTGTATGAGCTCCTTTTTCTCCAAATCTTCAGCAATGCTTTTTATTTTGTAATAGCTATTCTAATTGGGGAAAGATGGTGTCTCACTGTAGATTTGATTTGCAGTTCCCTAATGGCTAATGATTTTGAGAATTTTTCATGTATATGTTGACGAATATATAGCAAGTGAACAATAAGTTCTCTTTTGTAGTGTTTATAGACATTTTGAACAAACTAGTCACATATTTATTTTACCAAAAGGAAAATTTCAATAAATTCTAATGAAGTAGAAATAGATGCACAAAATTATCTGAGACATTGCAATGAAACTGCAGCAAAATACAGAGCAAGAATATTTTTTAAACTTGGAAATAAAAATAAAACTGTTAAACAATTCTTGGGTCCAAGAAAAAATGTATAACAAAAAGTCAGGAATTTAATAGTAATGAAAGCATACATCAAAATTTTGGAAAATAAACAAATTATTGCTAAGAAAATAGTTACAGCCTAAAATACTTATATTGTTAAAATGACACAATGAAAATAAATAAATTAAATATATGACTCAAAAAGTTAGAGAAAAGAGAGCAAGAAGGTGTAATTAATAAAGATAAAAGCATATATTTTTGAGTTAAAATACAGAAAACAGAACATAATAGCCAATGCTTCAGTTTTCGTAACAGGGAAAGATTGGAAACAGGGCAAGTACAGGCAGGAAAGCGAGAGGATGCATCTATAGAACACAGAGAGACAGGGCACAGGTGTAAACAGATACTATTGAAAATGATACTTTTCATTGAAAAGGTAATATGCAGAATGGGGTCTTGTGAAGGAGGAAAAAGTTTTTAAAAACACACTTTCTTAGATGAGTTTTTACATAAACCTGGGGGTATCAAAGAGATACCAAAACTAGTGATTTCTTGTAGGGGTAAATGTGACAGACAGCATAGGGTAAATGAGGTTAGAAAATGTTATTGTTTAGATCTAAAATGTCTCCCAAAAGTCTCATGTGTTTGGAAGGTGATTGGATCACGGCAGTGCTGTGCTTATGAGTGGATTCATCCACTGATGAGTTCATAGCTGAATGTGCTGTTAAGAGGTGGGGCCTGGCTGGAGGTGGGTCATTGGGAGCGTGACCTGGAAGGGTGTGTTCTTGTCCATGGCACTGGTGATCTCTCTACTGCCTGGCTCCAGTGGGTTGAACAATTCCCCTGCCCCAGGCCCTTCCACCATGTCCTTTCTGACTTGGAGCCAGCCGACCGTGGACTGACACTATAAGCTTCAAAACAAACTGCTCCTCCTTTAAGTTGTGGGTGTCAGGTATTTTGTCCCAGAGATGACAGGGAAGTGACTAATACAGGAGAGTTCTCTTTCTATGTATTTTTTTTTTTTTACATGAACATCTGAACATTTAAAGTCCATTGCACCTTTATTTGTTTTATTTTCCCATTAAGTTTTTTGGTACATTTTAGATATAAAATACAGTTACATTCATCATAGGGATCTTGTACCTGTACATGATGTATCTTGGATCTTATTTTTTTCCCGTTTCCCTGCCTTCCCTTCACCCCCTCCACCCTTCCCTATTTGCAAAGACTTTGTTTCCATTTTTTTCCTTTTCTCATATTTTTTCTTTTCCCTTCTTTCCTTTCCCTTACCCTTCCCACTTCCCCTACTCCTTTAGACCTTTTCTTCCCATTACACAATATCAATTATACACTTTAAAAATTACAATATCAAGATCTAGGAGACATTACCACAGATTTTACAGAATTTAAAAGGGTATAGAAAGCATATCACAAAAATATTTTTTGAAATAAATTTGACAACTTCTAAGAAGTACCTTGGCAAACAAATTAATGAAACTAACTCTGGAGGAAATATAAAATTTGAATAGCACCTATTAAAGAAAGTATATTCCTAGCTTGAAAACCTACCTATATGACAAAAACAGGCTCATATACATTTTAACTGATAAATTATATCAAACATTTAAAGCAGAAAAAAGAAGGAACATTTTTATGTATTTTTAAATATTTTAGTTTTGGGACCAAGTAAGAATCATAAAAACACTAACACAAAACATAGGCAGAAAACAGAAATATTTTTCTTATATCTAGACTGAAAAGTGAAAAAATAGATCAGATTATTAAAAGGCTGACTGATAATCTGGCTATCACTGTCCTTTGGTGGGGGATCAAAGATATGAGGGACATCAAGGACGAGACCAAACTGCTCTCCTGACAAGTCCAGCAGTGTCTGTCAACAGGGACCACTCCATGCTGGGCCTAGGTCAGGTTCTCAGTAGAGACTGGGACAAGGACCGGAAGTGGGATGAATGTTCATTGTTTGAAATGGATTTAAAATATGCTGTCCAATATGTAGGTGAATGTATTTTACCTATAGATACCTTGGCCACAAACTGAGACACATGCCTTAGGGAAAAAGGCTAATCACAGACTGGCAGTTTTTCTGTTTTATAAATTAAAATCCATTTTCCTCACACAGTAGGAATACAAAATATCAAGCTCCTGATATTTATTTTTACACTTATAATTTTGAGAAAGTTCTTAACACCTTAAATCAAATTTAGTGTTTAAAAAAAGGTTTTCCTGGGACTGCAACTATGAATGCCAAGTTTTAATCCAGAGCAAATTTTTAACAGCTTAACTGGCAGGTCTTTAAAGAGGTCTTGTCAAAACATGAACTATCAAGAACCAAGAGAGAAAAAAAACAATATTAAAAAACACAACTCCTACCTGCCTCAGTACCTGTACCTCTGGGTGTGGAAATAGACGAATGAAAAATTTACATAAAAGGATGGTGAGACCACAAGACGAGGAGTCATTTGTAGACATAAAATACTGAATCAAGGATTTTAGGATATATGATTAATATCAGCAAGAAACAAAATATTCTGTGAGATCTCCACTTTGGCCCAAATAAGCGAACTGAACCACTGTTGCACATCTTTCTATGCAGGAGGAGGAGAGGAGGCAGAGAGTATTTGGGCAGGGGCCAGGTAGTGATGAAGACAGAAGAGCTGGGAGGTAAAAAGGGAACCTTGGCATGCCTGTCTCTGTGGCCTCACCTCTGAGGCAGAAGTAAAGGACTGGTTCATACCTTATTTTCTACTCTGTTAGTCAGCTATTTGTTACTATAACAAAGTACCTGAGATAATCAGCTTACAAAGCGGACAGCTCTACTTTGGCTTACAGTTTTGGAGGCTTCAGTGGATGATTGATTGGGTCCTTTGGGCTTGGGGTAGCCCAGTGCATCTTGACATGAGTGCCTCACAGAGGAAGCAATTCACCTCCTAGATGAGTATGAAAAGAGACAGCAAGAGGTGTGGCCCCACTATGCCTTCAAGGGTGTGTCTCCAGTGACCTAAGGCATCCCACTAAGCCTCACCTCTTAAAGGCTCCACCACTGTCCAATAGCACCAGGGGCA